CCTTGCTTCATAGGAGATCTGTTTGGTACTGTAAGCTTGGTCAAAAGCCCATGACCAGGTAGGTCATACACCACAGTTGTTCTGCTAAACAGACATGATATGCCACATGAAGATCAAATTGCTTTCTAGATAATTATATTTATGTCTAACATAAACTAGTCCTGCTGTTGGCTTTGGTCAGAGATGCTCCAGTTTACAATTGGTAGCAATAACTGCAGAGACTCATAACTGGTTTAAGTGAAGAGGGGACTGTTGACTGCTCAGCCATAAATGACATAGCTATATTACCCTCTCTGAGGCTCAGGGAACATCACAGAATGGGTGGGAGAGGGGAGAATGTACAAGCCAGAGGAAGGAGCAGAATGTGGCAGAGCACTGTCTCCAGAGCATGGATGTCCTACCTAATCCTGAATTGAACTGAAATCACTACAAAAGGTATGAAAACTAATACATAACACACTATACAAATTCAGCACAAGCCTCAGTACCACGCTAGCTTTAGAACTGTCAGGAAATTAAAGTTAAAACTAGCTCTGGAGTTGAACTAGTACGAGGTCATCTTACTGTCCATGATCCTAGGCTACCCCCAGAAACTTTAGAACACACAGGTCACCTGTAACATCCCACTAGAAACATTAATGTTAATATTCTGGTTCATTAGGACATTACTGATAGAATTTTTAAATATTTTAAGGTTATTTTCAAGAACTCCGATAGGTTAAATCTCAAATGCTGTATTAAGGGGTCTGAACAAGTGATCTAGTACATTTTTCCCCGATTCCAAGCCAAGTCTCGTCCTTGGTTCCCTCTGCTACATCAAGATGCTTGTAAATCAGAATTGAAAAATGAGGTGGATTCAGTTCATACTGAAAGTTTTAAAGTACATCCTCTTGAGATTAGTTTCAGTTCTATCTAAAAACCAAATTAAAAAGACTTGCTTCCTAAGGCTGTTATCTAAGATGAAAATGAAAATACCAGCTGTAACTCCTTTACAGAGTTATTTTTGAAAAGTATGAAACATTAGATGCAAAATAAGTTTCTGCAAACATCCAGACAATTAGTGGTGGGAAGTAATCCCAGGCTATGAGTCTGTCCTTTGGTTACATAGATGTCTCTCCAACTGTTTAATGGCTACCCAGTTTCCATGTGAACCCTGACAGGACAACTTTCCACTGCCTGTTATTTAGAAGTTAGACAAATTCTCTAAGGATAAGCATCTGTTGGCTCTAGTTAATCAGGACATCTTTTCCACGGGGTAGCTATAGAAAGGAAATGTCATTTTTTTAGTACACTTATAACTCAAAACTTGGATATTTTTGCCTTTTGAAAAGCCGTATTTCTTTTTTCTAAATATAATCGTGTTTGTTCCCAACACTACCAGTCACTGAGTACTCACACTGGCATCTGTGCATACATTATCTTGGATCTTCATCATTACTGATGTTTATTGTAGGTTACTCATCGTTACTGTTGGTGGGCTGTAGCTCAGGCTAGCCCCAAACTCATGATCCTCCTGCCTTAACAACTCCTAGTGCTGGCCTCACCTGTTGTTTTAAATCACTTCCTTACCCCTCATTGTTCTGTAGATTCACAGTGGTGTTTCCAGATGTCCACATTTGCTAATCTGCTTTGTTCTCCGTGCTTCTGCATTCTGAGGAATTGTGTGTTTCGTCAGTTCTGGGGGATTCTCAGTATTTCTATGAATGTTGCCCTCTTCTGGCCACCCCTGGTGCTCCTCCCACTGTACCTGTCCAGCTTTGATGTCCCTTAATCGTGTTCATAATTTCTACCTCTTAATCTCTGCATTGTATTTTAGTAATTGTCTAATATCTAGCTCACAGATTCTCTCTTTAGGCAGGTTCAATCTGCCATTTAACTCACCCCTTTAGTTTGGTTTGGGGTTTTAAAAAAATTTTTTTTTCGGTCTTTTTGAGACAGGGTTTCCCTGTAGCCCCAGCTGGCCTGGAACTCACTCTCTGTAGACCAGGCTGGCCTTGAACTCACAGAGATCTCCCCAGTACTGGGATTAAAGGCGTGCGCCACCACACCTGGCTTAAAAAATATTTTATTAGCATTGCTTTCTTTAAGAAATAACATGATTACATTGAAAATTTTTGTACAGGTTGGAGAATTTGGAAAGGGTTAGGATAGCAAATGCACGTTTTAGCAACAGTAACAAATTTCATATTATTGTTGAAGCAGTTTGCCAGTGAATAATATTCAGAAACGACAGTAGATATTTTGGTTGTTAGCCTTCAATGGCTACACTATCTAGACAGGAGGCTAGTAGGAGACAGGTGTTACCAAGGGAAAAATGGGGAGAAGAGAGGTACTTTAACTGGGGAGGGAGTAGGGCAGGTCATACGGGGGCGTGAGAGGTGAGATAAATAATGCTTATAGATTGTGTGAAAGATTAGAGGGGAATATATTAGTTCAAAGCCCTACTAAAAAATACACATATGCCAGGCGTGGTAGTGCACACCTTTAGTCGCAGCACTCAGGAGGCAGAAGCAGGCAAATCTGAGTTCAAGGCCAGCCCGGTCTACATAGTGAGTTCCAGGCCAGCTGGGGCTACAGGGAGACCCTGTTTCAAAAAGAAAGAAAAGAAAATCACATACAATATCTGAACATGAACACGTGTATAGCTGAAGGCTATATAACAAAGAACACAATGCCACCAGGAGAAACTTCCCTTCAAGTTATAGGGCAGGGTGGTCCAAGAGACACCCGAAGTAACAGGCTATTTCCACAGCCCTTGATTAACTCCCAGAAATTGAAGGTAAGACTCTGTTCCTGAAGAAAAGCCAGACTTTGGACACAAGAGAAAGATCAGCTTTTTTTTTTTTTTGGTCTTTTTGAGACAGGGTCTTCCTGCAGCCCCAGCTAGTCTGGAACAGGCTATGTAGACCAGGCTGTGCTTGAATTCACAGAGCTCCACCTGCATCTGCCTCCCAATGTGCTGGGATTAAAGGCATGTGCCACCACACCTGGCTGTCACTTACTTTTTATTATTTTAATTTTTTTCTTGATTGTCCCACTATGTGGTCTAGGTTCCCCTTTAACCTATGCTCTCCCTACCTCAGCCTCTCAAGTCTTGGGATTACAGGTATATACAACTATGCCAGGCTAAGAAAATGATCTCTTCCCTCAGAAATCGCTTTTAAACACATCTAGGTTGTCATAAGAAAATACTATACACTGAGTGGCTTAAAAATCACAGAAATGGATTTCTTGAAGCTCTGGAAGATGGCAAGTCCCAGGTGATCTACCCTCATGACCTAATCCACTCCTTGAGAGTCCTACCTCTTAATAGCACCACTTCAGGAGTTACAGTTTCATGAATTTGGGAGGGAACATAAACATGCAGATCACTGCAAAAACCAATGTCATGTTTTCACAGCCCTCATTCCAATAATATATTTTAAATATTTTTACCCAGGCATTTCATATAGAGTTGGTCTTTTTAGGTGTTTTCCTCTGGGGTGTAGGAGGTAATGCGAGGAGACTGGAAACACCTCATAAGACCAGAATTCCACATAAACATCTGGGAAATGCCATCGTGGAATGTTCCAAGTGCAACTATACTACTTTGTTGGAGAATATCTAATCTGTTGTCCTTTGACACTGAAGAAAAAAATCCAACTAAACAACTAAACCAACCAACTGAAAATACCTATTGTAAACTTCTCAGCTCTACCCCACTGTCCTTCCTTTCATAAACACATCAGTGCAGGACTGAGGATACATTCTGAATGTATTTGAGTTCAAAGCTCAAAATGATGACACACCACCTCAATGCAGTTATACGGTGGCAACTCTCTCAACATTCCCCACAAATAGCAAACATCTTACAAATTAAGAGGGAAAATGAGAGAAATGAAACAAGAAAACCAGTCAGTGGGGCCAGCATGATGGCTCAGCGGGTAAAGGCACTTGCTGTGCAAGTCTGACAACCTGAGCTCAATCTCCAGAACCGCAGCAGCTGGAGAGAAAAAGCTCTCAAGAATTATCAGACGCTGGAGAGATGACTAGGCGGTTAAGAGCACTGGCTACTCTTGCAGACAACCCGGGTTCAGTTCCCAACACCCATGGTGGCTAAGAACCGTCCCTAACTCAAGGTCCAGGGAATCTGATGCCCTCTTGATTTCTGTGGGTGCACAATATGAGTGCACTTCATGCATGAAAGCAATATACTCACACACATAAAGTAAAAATAATAAAATACTTTTTTTAAAAATTGGTCATCTGACCTCTACACATGAACCATCTCACACACACACACACACACACACACACACACACACAAAATGTAACTGCTTTTTTAAAAAGTCAGTGAAGGGCTGGAGAGATGGCTCAGCAGTTAAGAGCACTGACTGTTCTTGCAGAGGACCCAGGTTTGGTTCCCAGCACCCAGATGGCAGCTAACAACTGTCCACAGCTCCAGTTCCAGTGGCTCCAATGCCCTCTTCTGACCTCTGCAGGCACTGCACGACACAGGTGCACTTACATACATGCAGGCAAACCACTCATACACATAAAATAAAAATAAATAAAATATTAAAAAGTAAGTGAATCTGGGCATGGTGGTTCAGGCCTTTAACCCAGCACTGCAGAGGCAAAGGCAGGTGGATCTCTGTGAATTCAAGGCCAGCCTGGTCTATATAGCAGGTTGCAGGTCAGCCAGGGCTACAGGGAGACCCTGTCTCAAAAAAAAGAAAAAAAGTCATTGAAAGTCATTGAACTAGGATAAATACTGTGAAATTCATTAGACAATATCCTGCCTTTCTTTAAAATGTAATCCATTTTGACTTTTTAAAATTTATTAATTTTGTTGTTTTGGGTCATTCATATCTACTGCACATATTTTATAAGATAATCAAATCAGAAAGGTATACATAATGCTTTAGTTTCGAACCTCCCAATTACTGGTACTGGGAACTAATTTAAGGAGCCACATGTATGGGCAACTGTCTGGTTTTATTATCAATGCCAAACACGAATTTAAATCTATTAAAATTTATTTAAGCATAAAGTTGCTTTCACATTTATCCACAACCACAGTGAAGACATTTCCAGCATAAAGACATAGCCTTTGGAGTTTAAAATATCCCAGTGTAAGATTACATATATAAAATTGCCATTATTGTGTATGTAATAGTGGGTTGGATAATCAAACTATCTGGAATAAAATACAATGGAAATAATTTATTCGTATGATTCATATTTAAATCATCTTTATTTACAAAATACTATCCTGAGAATTATAATTCCATTAAACTTCAATTTGAGCAAAAATGTAATCACTTAAGTGACAGCAGTTACTTAAACTGAAAACAAGAGAAAAGTCAATTACTTTTGAGGAAATCAAATGCCACTGTCAGGTTTCTTGTGGTTCTGAAGGTTCTGCGGCAGGTCCACTGAAAGGTGGGATGGGCTCAGAGGGGTGCTCACTTCTACCTTCAGGATGTGGGGGTGAGGGGAAGAATCCGGCTCTTGGGGGAAGATAAGGCGGAAAGCCCCTCGGTGCATACATATTTCTCACTGTTCAACAAGATTAATAAAAGGCAGTCTTTACTTAACCTGTACTGAAGCCTTATTAAACCACTAGCCTATAGCTTCCTGCAGCTTTTCTTACAGTCAAACACTGACACAGATTACTTGATCTAACAAACTAATTTTGAGGTTAAAAAAATGTACTTTCTTCAACTACATTTAATTAATAAGAACTTCATTATTTTAGAGGTTTATCCTATCTTATCATTTACACAATATACTCGAAACTTACTTTAAAACACCTTTTCAAATCGGTGATTCTCACTTGACATTATATTAAAAACATTTTCAGCTGCACTAAAGAGCATATTCAAACTCCCCAAACAAAAGTCAGTTTAATTCATCTTGAACTAGTTTAATTCATCTTGAACTTTAAGGAGGGGAATCAGAGGGCTACATAAGACAACTGATGAGGCTTTTGCCTATTATTTGGTAAACAGATTTCTTTTGTACAAACTATGTTTCTAACTGGTAAAGTGTGGCTACAAAAACAAAAAACTACTTCTGTTTTCAGATGAGGCTGTGGGCTGGAGAGATGGCTTACTGGTTAGGAGTGCTTCCTGCTCTTCCAGAGGACCAGAATTTGGTTCCCAGCACCCACATCAGGAGGCTCATTACAGCCTGTAATCAAGTTCCAGGGAACCCAATGCTGCCTTCTGGCCTCCGCCTCCGTAAGCACGTGTACATACATACACACACACACACACACACACACACACACACACACACACACACACACAGAGCTCCCTAGCTCCAGCACTCAGAACATATACTGGGGCACATGGTAGACACTAGTATTCATTTCCTTTACTACTCAACAGGTAGGCCACACATGAGTACCACATCTTAGACTGTAAATTACTTCAGTCAGTAATCTTAAGACTAAAATATAAATTATAATTATTTTAAATGTCACAATAAATTTCTAGCATTTCTAGTATAATACATTATAAGTAATTTTAATTTTAACATAAAACTCCTGCAAAAATCAATGATTTTTTGGAACTATCACCATATAGATATAATTCCACATTTGTTAAGATGAATCAGGTTGTGGCTGAAAAGATGGCTCAGCAGTTAAGAGCACTGGTTGCTCTTTCAGAGGATCCAGGTTCAATTCCCAGCATCCACATGGCAGCTTAATAACTGTAACTCAGTTCCAGGGGAATTGGATGCCCTCTTCTGATCTCCGCAGGCATTGCATGACCGGGTGCACTCACATACATGCAGGAAATACACTCAAACACATAAAATAAAAATAATAAAATATTTTTTTTAAAAGATGAATCAAGTTGAAGTTTCATTGAGTTCCTGATGATGGCTTACCTGGGAATGGGGGAGGTGGCGGACCAAGGAAATCTCTTGGTGGAAAATAATCTCGAGGGGCTCCATACATGATATTTCCTGGAGGAGGAGGAGGAGGAGGAGGAGGAGGAAAAGGAGGTCCCCTCCTCACGAACTGGCTCCTTGGATCCACTGGAAACAACGGCTCTCGGACTGGAGGAAAGGGTGGGGAACCAAAGACAGGGCCGGCCGCTTCACTTTCCGCAGGAAGAGGTGAATGAGGCACATTTGAATTCTGTAACAGATTCAGATACAGCAGTCACAGAAGCGACACAATTTATTGTGCTTTTCCTGAAAATCAGGCTTAGAGGAAAACTTGAAGGCACTTATGCAGAAAGCAGTCTGTGACAGTCTAGTAAGCGACAGAAAAGAATTTTCCACATTCCATGGTTTTCTCACTCAACAGAAAATAACTTTAATCAAAGTAGTAATATTCTAGGCCAAGATAAAACACCAGTTTAGTTCAAGAGTATCAAAATATATACTTTTATTACATATACTAAAAAAAGAAAGATCGTAAGTATGTTGATATTTTCAAAATGACCAAAATCAACATTATATTTTAACACTCAAATAAAAATTCAAGGGAGAAAAATCTAAAACTGTGTTCAGTTAGTAAACTAATTTTAAAACCCCCTCAAGTTGTACTTTAAAAAAATTTTTTTTAATTTAATTATTTTTACATGTATTAGTGTTATGCCTGCATGTGTGGGTATTAAGTGCACCTGTGTCGTGCAGGACCAGTGGAGGACAGAAGAGGGTTCAGATCCCCTGAAACTGGAGTTTTGGATGGCTGTTAGCCACGATGTGGGTGCTGGGATTTGGACCTGAAAGTTGTGCAAGAACAGCCAGGGCTCTTAACCACTAAGCCATCTCTCCACCCCTGTACTTTTTTAAAGTAAGAGCTATCAGGGTTCTCTTGTTTTGTTTTTTGAGATAAGATCTCCCTAGGTATCCCGGCCTAGCTTTGAACTCACAATTCTATCACAGCCTGACAAATTTGAGAATTACATAGACCACCACACCTGGCTTGTCGTTTGTACTGTTTCATCATAGGTTACAAGTCAGAAAAGATACACCTTAAGTAGAAGTAGACTGTATTAACATTGCAAAGTAGATCAGCTCTAACTCTGCTGTAGTAAGCAAAGAGATTGGATGTGGATACACAGGTAAAATTCCACTTCAATACTTACACCAAGATCATCTTTGGTATCACTTCTACTGGATTCCATTTCTGAAGACACTGGTCCATCTAGAAAAAAAAGAAAAGAAAAATGCATTGATTTCTCATTCCTAGATCATTTTCAGATTACAAATAATATTTCTATTGTCCCACAACCCCTGTTGGTACAGAAAACCAGCTTGACATCAGCATCCCACAAGAGCAGTCTAAGGCCTATGGAAATTCAGCACAATAAGCATTCTGCAACAGTGTGGCAATATCTTCTCCAGCTGGTTCCTAGGCAGTCTTGCTGCAGTATAAGGGAACATCTGGGAGGTAGCACGCCTCTTCCTTCCTTCCTGTTTTCCCTCCTTTCCCCTGTTCTTCTTTCTTTTCTTATTCCTCCAGAAGTAACAGACTAGACATTTGAATTTATCCCAAGAGGTCATAGGGAATAAACAATGCCAGGACAGTTCATCAAAACAGGTCTAAGAAAATGCCACAAAATAACAAAAGGAGAGGAATTAATATACATATCTCAATAGTAACTCTGAATATTAATGGTCTCAATTCCCCCAATAAGGACACAGACTAGCAAAGTGGATTAGAAAATAGGATCCATCTTTTTGCTGCCTCCAAGAAACATACCTCAACATCAATGACAGACACCACCTTAGGGTAAAAGAATGGAAAAGGATAGTCTAAGCAAATGGAACTAGTGAACAAGCAGGCATAGTTATTCTAGTATCTGACAAAATGGACTTCGAACTAAAACTATCAGAAGAGATAAGGAAGGTCACTTTATATTTATTAAAGGAAAAGACCACTAAAAGGATATTACAATTCTAAACATACACACATTAAACACAGGTGCCCCCAGTTTCATAAAAGACATACTACCACTGATCTCATTAACCCCAACATAGTGATACCAGGTGACTTCAATACTCCATTCTCACCAATGGACATCATCTGAACAAAAACTAAACAGAGAACACTGATGATGGACCTAGCAGACACCTAGAGAACATTCTACCTAGGCACTAAAGAATATGCATTCTTCTCAGCAGCACATTAAAGTTTCTAAAAAAGAAATCCATCCTATATTAGGTCCCAAAGCAAGTCTCAAAAAATACAAGAAAATTGAAATAGCATCTTTCATTCTATCTGATCACAATAAAGTTAGATATCAACAACAATAGAGACCAGAAAGTACACAAGTTCATGGAGACTAAACATCACACTACTGATAATTAAGGAAGAAACCAAGAAAAAAAATTTAATTCTATAATTGAATGAAAATTAAAATACAGCATACCAAAATCTATTGAACATAATGAAGGCAGTCCTAAGAGGGAAGATTATAGCACTATGTACCTACATCAAAAAATTAGATGTCGGGGCTGGAGAGATGGCTCAGCAGTTAAGAGCACTGACTGCCCTTGCAGAGGACCCGGGTTCGATTCTCAGCACCCACATGGCAGCTAACAACTGTCCATAACTCCAGTTCCAGGGGAATTTGACACTTTTCTGACCTCTGCAGGCATTGCACAAATGGGTGCACTTACATACATTCAAACAATATACTCATACACATGAAAATAAAAATACATAAAATATTCTTTAAAAATAAGATCTCAAATTAATAAATTTAATGATTCATATTTAAGGCCTTAGGAAACCAAGAATAGACAGCACCCAAAAAGAGTAGATGGAAAGAGATAATCAGGGCTGAAATTAATGAAACAGAAACAAAAAAAAAAATTACAAATAATCAATGAAATAAAGTTGGCTTTTTGAAAAGACAAACACGATTAGCATACCCTTGCATTATTAGCCAAAAGCAGAGAAGGTCCAAATTAATAAAATTAGAAATGAAAAGGGGAACATTACAAAAGAGATCAGTGAAATTTGAAGGTCATAATGACATAATTAAAAAATCTCTATTCCATTATATTGGAAAATCTAAAAGAAATAGATAAATTTCTAGAGGCACACAACATACCAAAATTAAACCAATACAAAATAAAAATTTAAACAAGTCCATAGCCAGGAATGAGATTGAAGCAGTAATAAAGTCTTCCAACTAAAAAAGTCCAGGACCAGGTAGTCTCACAGAAGAGATCTACAAAAGTTCAAAGACTTAACACCAGTAATACTAAAGTTATTCTGTAAAACAGCTTTCTAAACTCTTTTTATGAAGCCCAAACCAGATAAAGACACAACAAAAATTATCAGTCTTCCCAATGAAAGTGGGTGCAAAAATTAAAAATACTTGTAAACCAAATCCAAGATCATATCAAAAAAGTCATTCATCACAAATAAGTTGGCTTTATTCAGAAATTCAGGGATGGTACAACATACATAAATCAGTAAATGTTATTTATCACATAGACCAAAGATAGAATTACATGACCATCTCATTAGATGCAGAAAGGTTCTTTGACAAAATCCAATATCCTTCATTATAAAAGTCATGGAGGGGCTGGAGAGATGGCTCAGTAATTTAGAGCACTGGCTACTCTTTCAGAGGACCCAGTTTCAATTCCCAGCACCCACATGGCAGCTAACAACCATCTGTGACTCCAGGTCCAGAGGATCCAGGATGCCCTCTTCTGGCTTCCATGGGCATTGCAGAACATGGGTGTACTTACATATATGCATTAAAGCATTCATACACACAAAATAAAAATAAATCAATCAAAAGGAAGGGAGGGAGGGAGGGAGGGAAGGGACACGGAGAGACTAGGGATAGAGGAAGCATACCTCAACATAATAAGCTACACATGACAAACCTATAGCCAACATCATATTAAATGGAAAAAACTCAAAGCCCTCCCAGTAAGACTAGGAGCAAGGTAAAGATATCCTCTCTCTCTTCCTACTCAATACAGTGCTTGAAGTCAGCGAAACCAGTAAGATAAAAGACAGGAAAAGGGATATGAGTTGGTAAAGAATTCAAATTATTCCCATTTGCAGATGATTATTATTTCCTAAAGACTCCACCAAAAAACTCTTAGAACTAATACTTTCAGCAAAGTGGCAGGTTACAAAATTAACACACATTTCTGGGCATGGTGGTACATGCCTTTCTTTAGTCCCAGCACTCAGGAGGCAGAATCTGGCAGATCTCTGTGGGTTTGAGGCCAGTCTGGTCTACATGTTGAGTTGCTAGGAGGGAGGGAGGAAGGGAGGGAGGGAGGGAGGCAGGGAGGCAGGGAGGCAGGGAGGCAGGGAGGGAAGGAAAAAGAAAGCCAGGCCTGGTGGTGCATGCTTTAGTCCCAGCACTCAGGAGGCGGAGGCAGGGGAGGCAGAAGCAGGCAGATCTCTGCGAGTTCAAGGCCAGCCTGGTCTACATAGTAAGTTCCAGGCTGGCTGGGGCTACAAGGAGACCCTGTCTCAAAAACACCAAAAAAAAAAAGACAAACATACTGAAAAAGAAATCAGGGAAAAATCCCATTCACAATAGCCACTAAATAAATAAATATATTTACATATATATACATACATATAAACATAAAATCCCTAGGAATAAATTTAACCAAGGAAATCAAAGATCTCTACAATGAAAACTTTAAGTCACTAAAGAAAGAAACTGAAGAAGACATCAGAAGTTGGAAAGACTTCCCATGCTCATGGAATGGCAGTATTAATACTGTGAAAATGAGCATCCTACCAAAAGCAATCTAAAGATTCAATATGATTCCAATCAAAATACCAGAACCTTTTTTCACAGACATACAAAAATCAGCCTCAAAATTTATATAGAAGCATAAAGGTTCAAGGATACCTAAATCCTGAACAAACAGAATATTGTAGGAGGCATCGCCATACTTATTTATAATTGTACCAGAGTCACAAAAACAGACACATAAATCATTGAAATAGAAGACCCAGATATAACTCCAAATAACTAGAGCTACCTGATCTTTGACAAAGACACCAAAAATATACATTGGAGAAAAGACAGCACCTTCAACAAATGGTGCTGGGGAATCTGGATTTCAATATGCAGAAGAATGAAAGTAGATCCTTATCTCTCACCTTGCCCAAACTCAACTCCAAATGGATCAAGGATTTCAACATAAGATCTGATTAATACCCTCAAACTGCTAGAGGAAAAAGTAGGGAACACACTTCAAATTACAGGCACAAGTACGGGCTTTCTACATAGGAATCTGGTAGCTAATGGAATAAGACCTGATCTCATGAAACTAAAAGGATTCTGTACAGCAAAGGAAACAATCAATCAAGTGAAGCAGCTGCCCACAGAATGGGAGAAAATCTTTGCCAGTTATATATCTGACAGACAGTTAGAGTCTAGAATATACAAAGAATTCAAAAAAACTAAACACCAGGAAAACACCCCAATTAAAAAATGGTCAGGGGTGGGGTGCGGGGCTGAAGAGGTGGCTCAGAAGTGAAAAGCCCTGGCTGCTCTTGCAGAGGACCCAAGTTCAGTTCCCAGCTCCTAACAACCATCCATAACTCCAATTCCAGGGATTCTGACACCCTCTTCTGGCCCCTGTAGGCACTGTGAAACATGGGTGCAATTATTACATGCAGGCAAAAGTTATGCAGATTAAATAAATAAATAAATAAATAAACAAACAAACAAACAAACAATCAAGCATGGAACTGAACAGGAAGTTCTCAAAAGAAGAAATATAAATGACTATTAAAAACTTTAAAAGATGGTGGGCATCCTTAGCCATCAGGGAAATGAAGATTAAAACTACGTAGCCGGGTGTGGTGGCGCACACCTTTAATCCCAGCACTCGGGAGGCAGAGGCAGGCGGATCTGTGTGAATTCAAGGCCAGCCTGGTCTACACAGTGAGTTCCAGGACAGCTGGGGCTACAGGGAGACCCTGTCTCAAAAAGACCAAAAAAAAAAAAAAACTACGTAAGATTCCATCTCACTCCAGTCAGAACATCCATCATCAGGAATACCAATGGTGACAAATGCTGGCTGGGTATGGGGAAGGGAACTTATATACTGCCTGTGCAGCCACTCTGGAAATCAGTCTGGAAGTTTCTCAAAAAAGTAAACAGAGACCTACCATAAGACCAGCTATTACAGTCCTGGGCATATACCCAAAGGATTTTTTTTTTTTCTTTTGGTCTTTTTGAAACAGGGTCTCCCTGTAGCCCCAGCTGTCCTGAACTCACTATATAGACCAGGCTGGCCTCGAACTCACAGAGATCCACCTGCCTCTGCCTCTGGAGTGCTGGGATTAAAGGCGTGC